GTCACTTGTTATTACGCTCAGACAGAACCAACCAGCACCAGTAAGTAGTATTAAAAAAATAAAAAACCACAGGTAAATCAACGACCTTGTTTTTGTTGAAATCACAGAGCTGTCCAGTCCTTATTCGTCACCTTGCCCTATATGGTGGTAGTTTGTAGTGAATAACTACTACGCAACTACTTAATAGTCGGCTTTGCTTGCACAGACCTTCTTATTACTCTTTCTTTTCGCCGCTCTTTCTCCCCGTCGTTGTATATGAGTTTTCATTTTCTCAACGAAGAAAAGAGTTAGCCTCTTAATTTTCTCTTTACGTTAGTGTTTTACCCTTTTATTTTATATTTTATTTTTAATTAAATAGTTAATTAAATAGCTAAATAATATTTTTTCCTTTTCTAAAAATCGCCCTTTATATATTTATTAACGTACAATAATTCTTTATATATTATTTTCAAAATAGCTGGGCTTTATACTATTCTTCCGTACTGGAGGGAGTATAGAATTTGACTACCTATTACACCAACTACACACCTATTCCAACTTTAAAATAATTATATTCCTGTAATGCCTGGTGCGATCTCTCAGACAGCTTATAACGGGTTGTCCGCCTATCTTCGGACAGCGGTATCGCCAGAATTTTTTCCGAATCCACGTCCGCCACAACACAATTATCAGAACCTGGCAGCTCATCTTTTGAACCAACTTCAACAGGCTGCTGCTATTCAGCAACGGTATCCCATGAACATGCCTGTAGTTTATGCTTCATCCGTTGTTGGGTCCCAGGTCAACAATAATAATAAAAATGAAGCAGCAAGCAAACCAACATCAATCTTCTGTTAATAACCATCATAATTCCCCGAGCACTTTGAGGTTGGCCGAGTTCGCTTCGAATATGATTTACCAAATGTGGCATTTTAAAAGACCTTCCTCTGCCTTGGCTAGTCAGTATGGCGTTACACCTGCATCAAATCCTAATAATATCTCATCAACTGCGAGTCCTCAGTTTAAAAATTTCTGTAATCATGTACGTCACTTTATCAGATAGCAAGATCACAATCATCAAAAATCATTCACCTTTATTTTACTATTTGATGTTATTTAGGTTCTTCAACTGACTCAGCTCTCAGAATCTGTTGTTTTTTTGTCACTTAAATATGTCCAAAAATTGGTGAAAAATGTAACAATGTCTATTGGGAATAAGGAATCAGAATATTATTTATTCACCGTTGCATTGATGTTGACTAGTAAGTTTCTTGACGATAATACATTTACGAACCAAACCTGGTCAGAAGTGACAAACATTAGTGTCAAGGAACTTAACATTATGGAGTTGGAATTTCTCGATAATTTGGATTTTAAGTTATTCGTGAACGATACAGAATACAAGCACTGGTTACAATGCCTTAATGAGTATATGCAAAAGCAGCATCAACAGTCGCTTCATCAAAGGAATAAATCTGCTTCGGATGCTTCTTTGAAAAGTGCTGCGTCGACTGCCATCGCTGCTGAAGCTCAGCAACAATATCAACAACAATCTTGGACTCAAAGATCAAATACTTTACAACAGTCTTATAAGTATTTGCTGATGTCTATGCCAGAGCCATACCAAGTTACACCAATCTCGATTGTTCATCGTCGCCAGCCAAAAACGCAAACCACTACCACCACTAGCTCAAATGTAATCCAACCATCCCACACTCAGTCACACTACGGATCTGTTCAAGCTCAGCAAGGCTTGAACATAGTAAATGAAATCGGTGGCTTTGCCTTCCCTTTTCTTGGATCTCGTAATAACAACACCAATAACAGTAATAATCTGCTAAAAAGGTAGAAGAAGGTATCGCTGCTAATTCTGGCAGATCTTTTGGTTCGGCCCCTGTTATAATTGCTCCCCCTGGTTTTGGTATTGTTGATGAGTTTGGTGCTCCAATTGTATTTCTTAAATCTTCATTACGTCGAACACATCCATCGATAGGAGCCGGAATAGATTATAGCAACACAGGTACTAGGATTGGTAATGCTGCTGCTGCTGCTGGAACGACTAAAAGTTGCTGTAAATGCTGAGATAAGCGCCGCTAATATCAATTCGACGGCAGGAGTGGTTATTTTTCGCGTGTAGTTGGCGGAGTTGGAATGACCTAATATTTGGTCTGTCTGTCTAATCTGAAAGAATCAAAATAATAAATTTATATCTAGAAGGGAAAGAAATGAGGAGGAAAGTATTTGAAAATAAAGAATTTTACTTTTTTGGAGGAATAGGATATATTTTTGCAATATCGAGAAATTCTTTGATACATCTTTGCAATAATACAACAAATTAAAACAATAACAATAACTTGTGACAAGGATAAAAAAATGATTTTACATGTAAATAGGATCATCCCGTGTAATATTGTTTCTTTTATAGGATCTACATACATGTATGTTATAAATCATCTGTATTAAAAAAGTGTCTCTTTCTTTCAGTGCGAATCATAACAAAAATTTCAAAAACTGACATATGTACATCTTTTATAAGCTACTTCTATATTAGGCATTGAATGTTTATCAAAACTTTCATACCACTGGTCATAATGATAATCATTTAATGATCAACAAAATTGAATCATCGATTTAGAATGCAATATTTCAATTTTTATATAAGAGCAAAGAGGACTGTAGGTTTTATGAATTTAATAATAATTAATGGTATGATCTGTTATTCCTTATCGTTAATTTAAATTTTACTCAGATTAATCAATATGCCGAAATCACCAGGTGACAATAGCAATTATCGTGATATTCCAATATATAAAAATACATCGGTTTCTCACGCATCTTCCAATAACATGTGTCTATGCTATATTTTTCGGAGTGTGGTAAAACCGTGTATAATAAACCTATCATCACCTCATAAAAATAATTAATGTATGTGTTTGTAATCAAACATACTTTGACTTTTTTTTGTCATCGAAAACAAATATCAAATCGATATATCGATATTCGGGGGGCCGGCTTAATGCATGGCGATCAGAATCTCAGAATCATAAAGCTTTCGTGTCGTGATTTACATTTTTTCGCGCCAATCAACAATGAAAAAACATATATATAGAGGTGGCAAGCATAAATCAAATTAAATCAAATCAAAATCTTACGAATTTTTGATAGCACATATCACATTTGCTCCAATTCAAATAATAAAATATATACGATCTATCTAGCCTATGTTATGTTGATTTTGGTTGCACAACAGCACTATAACTAAAAAAACACCCGTCGCTCAAGGAAATTTATTATTATCGCTCAGACAGGACTAACCAGCACCCAACCAATCAAAAGCGAAGGTACCTATACAAAAAAAATACCATTACTTGCCCTTGTAGTGCTAGTTTGTAGTGAATATTACTATGTAATTACTTATAGTCGGTTCTGCTTTGCACAGACCTTATTACTTTCTCTTCGCCACGTCGTTGTATACTAGTGCTTTCATCTTTCTCATCGAAGAAACGAGTTAACCTCTTCTTTATTTTCTTTCTCGTCTCTTTACGTTAGTGTTCCTCTTTTTACTTTTATTTTATTTTTAATTAAATAATTAAATAATTAAATAAATCGCTAAATAATACTTTTTTCCTCTTCTATCAAAATCAGCCTTTATATATTTTATTAACGTACAATAATTCTCTATTATTTTCAAAATAGCTGGGCTTTATACTATTGTTCGATACTACCTATCACACCAACTACAAGCCTATTCCAATTTTAAATAATTATATTTCTGTAATGCCCGGCACGATCTCTAAGACAGCTTATGATGGGTTACCCGCCTATCTTTGGACAATAGTACCACCAGCATTGTTTTCGAATCCATCACCACCACAATACAATTATCAGGCCCTGACAGTTCATCATTTAAACAAACTTCAACAGGCTGCTGCTATTCAGCAACAGCATCTCATGAACATGCCTGTAGATTATATTTCATCTGTTGTTGGGCCCCAGGTCAACAATAATAATGATAATAATGAAACAGCAAGCAAACAACATCAGTATTCTGTTAATAACCACCATTCCTCAATCACTTTGAAGTTGGCCGAGTTCGCTTCGAATATAGTTTACCAGATGTGGCATTTTAAAAGATTTTCCTCCTTGGCTAGTCAGTATGGAGCTCCACCTGCATCGAATCCTAATAATATCTCGCCAACTGCGAGTCCACAGTTCAAAAATTTCTGTAATCATGTACGTCACTTTGTCAAATTGCAAGATCGTCATCATCAAAATGATTCACTTTTATTTTACTATTTGATGTTATTTAGGTTCTTCAACTGACTCAGCTCTCAGAATCGGTGGTTTTTTTGTCACTTAAATATGTTCAAAGATTGGTGAAAAATGGAACAATGTCTACTGGGAATAAGAGATCAGAATATCATTTATTCACCATTGCATTGATGTTAGCCAGCAAGTTTCTTGACGATAATACATTTACGAATCAAACCTGGTCAGAAGTTACAAATTTTAGTGTCAAGGAACTTAACATTATGGAGATGGAATTTCTCGATGATTTGGATTTCAAATTATTCGTGAGCGATATAGAATACATGCACTGGCTACAATGTCTTAATGAGTATATGCAAAAACAACATCAACAGTTGCTTCATCAAAGGAATAAATCCGCTTCGGATGCTTCCTTGAGAAATGTTTCGTCGACTGTCATCGCTGCTGAAGCTCAGCAACAAAGGCAACAGCAACAAGAACAACAACAATGTTGGGCTCAAAGACCAAATACATTGCAACAGTCATATAAGTATACTTTGATGCCATTGTCAGAACCACAAACCACTACCATCACTAGTGCAAATGTAATCCAACCGCCCCAACCTCCTATTGGATGTGCTCAGCCATTTGGGCTTACTTCGTCTGTGCGTGCTAAGCAAGCTTTTATTAATTCTTATTATGGTCCGAATCGTAACCATAATAATTCTAGCAATGGATCAACATCTCACTTGCAACCCGTCAAAAGACATAGCATGCTTGAGAATATAATTGATGAAGTGCATCAAAATCAATCACAACCACCACGTAATCAACAATCACTATCATCTTCAAATTTGAATCCTATTGGTCATCTTCTTCCGTCGGTTAAATCAAATTTTGGAGGAAACCATTCGACGACACAAGGGAATTATGTAAATATCGATTTAAATTCGAAAAAAAACGGACAGCAATTTCCATCCACGAAATACGCTCAGTCACACTACGGATCTGTTCAAGCTCAGCAAGGCTTGAACATAGTAAATGGAATCAGTGGCTTTGCCTTCCCTTTTCTTGGATCCTATTCTTTTTATTAATGCGTCGATGTTCCCTTTTTTTCTTTATTTCTCAACAGAATTTGAGATTTCTTTCCGCATAATTTTATACTACTATCTTCTATATTACTTACTAGTTAGTATTTTATATATATACACATATATAGCTTCCCGGCAGGGAGAATAAGTTAGAAAGATATTAAAAATAATGCGTGGTAGAAGGGAAAGGGTCGAGGAGAAATACGTAAATACCATCACCAAACGAGTTAAAAATAATTTTTATTTATTATCAAAACACACATTGATTTGTCTCCCAGTCCTTCGAGAGTATCCAATCATTTATATATACTTTACTATAAAATTCACGGGATCTATGTTTCGAAACAAAGAATAATAATAAACTCAAGTACCGTACTTGCCCCAAAATAAGCACGAGTTTTTGAGGGGTCGTGCTTATTTTCGGGCATATTTTTTTTGAATGACAAATGTACAGTACCTATAGAAAGTATCGCCCGATTTACGTGAATAACCATTTTTTAAAAATACATTTATCAAGTTTTCTCCCTTTTTTGATAATAAACATCACTTTATTTATCTTTTGCCACTTCGTCAACACTATAATTTCGTTAGGTTAAAAAATGGTGTCCACCTATACGCAGCTTAACGAAATTGAAAAAGGGGAAGATTTTGGCGTACATGGACACCGCAAATGCCGCTCAAATCGCAAAAATACTCGGACGCGACCCTACAACGGTACGCCACTTTCTAAACAAATATAAACGAACTAGAAAAGTGAAAATTACCACGTTCAGGAAGATTACCAGCCTTAAACAATCACGAAAAGGATTTACTTATACCTGAAGCTAGCAAAAAAATAAATCAGCTTAATTAATAAAATATAATATGTGCTTATTCTTAAAAAACCTATATCTGAACACTAAAGCCATTTGTGCTTATTTTCGGGGGTGCTTATTTTGGGGCAAATACGGTATTCTTATAAGAATAAAATAAAGTAAATTATTATAAACGACATAAAATGTAAATTTTAATATGAATTTTGTAAGAATCTTTATGTAACAAAGAAATAACATACGATACGACGAGTTTCTAATGATAATCAAATTCTTGGGAGCGCAAAGTAAGGTGAAATTTGTAGATTAAAGAGGGCAATGTTGATGCTGATATCATAAAGTAGGAATTTTTTGTAAGAATTTTGCGGAAATACAGTCAATTTTATAAGTAACTGACCCCTATTTTCTCGTCACACAATATAATAAAGCAAAAAAATCTTTTTTTATTTAAAAATATATGATTAATCCTGATCACTAACACAGAGTATAATCCACATGGGATTCAATTAATGCCATCACATGATTTTTCATACTGTTGACTAATTTTGTCGCTAAATCATTAGGTAGACGGTTCCATTCTTTGATCAATTACTCTTTAAACCCTTAAGAGTTCTAATTTTTTTTTGCAATATTTATTTTCATAATTCCCAGACATTTTTAATTGGATTTTGGTTGGATGACATCAATGGCCAGGAAAGAACTTGTATGTCATTTTCCTTCTTCCATTTATTTACAAGGTTTGAATGGTGTTTAGGATCATTATCCTCCTGCAAAATCCAATCTACATAATCCTCACCAAAAAGTATTTCAACAGAAGGCAGAAGATCCTTCTCATAAAGTGTAATCATAAAATTAGCATTTAGATTCCTCTAGAAATAAACTAACTTCCCAAAGCCTGAAGTTGAAAACCATTCTTATACATGAACTTTTAATAGATACCTTACAGAATGAAATACTTTTCTTTCACTAGAAAATATCCATATCTTTCTTTCTTGTTGATTTAGTTGAAAGATGCTTTCACCTGAAAAAATTGCTCAATTCCAATTAAAATTCTTATAATTTTTCATCCATTTATAGTCAGAATTTTTTATGTTTATTAGTAAGTAAGAGTTTGAAAAGTTAATTCATATATTTGACTCTAGTTTCATGTAAATATTACAAATTATAGATACACTTATATTAATATTATTCTTTATCATTTTCTATTATATTTCAAGAATAGTTATGATTTTTCTTTTTTTGTAAGCTCTTTAATTTTTTTATTTTGTTTAGAGTTATAATTTGTTTCTGTTCTAATTTTGGTATATTACTTAGATTCTTTATTTTATTTCACTTTTTGAGCATATTACTTACTATATCTTTAGCATAATTAATATACTTCATTATCACTTGAAGTTTAAGCTTTAAATCTTTAGAATAAGTATATAAAAAAACACTTTCATAGTACTTATATAAAGAAAGAGATATTTTTTATTATAGAAATTTATTAATTATCTATAACGTATATAGATTATATATTAATCTATAAAAAATATCATGATTAGTATTTGTAATATTCTTTGTATTTGAAAAATTTCATAACATATCATATAATTTTTAGAAAGTTATGGAAGATTAATTACTTATAAAATTGATTATAGTACTAAAAAGAATAGAAAAAAAAGATTTTGTATTGATTATAAAAAATTAAATATAATTAATAAAAAGATACATATTTATTATCTAGAATTAATAAAATAATAGATTTACTTGAAAATACTTATTAATTTTCATCTATAGTTTTAACCTCTGAATATTGGCAAATCAAAATGAAAGAAAAAGATAAATCTAAAATTGTTTTATCTTCAGAAAAGAACTCTTTGAATTTAATATTATACTTTTTGAATTATATAAAATCTCAATAACTTTTTAATATATAATAGATATTATACTAAAAGATTATAATTAGAATTTTATTAATATGTATATTGATAATCTAAATATATTCTCAAAAAATTTTGAAAAATTTTTGGATCATCTTAATAAAGTATTTTGCAGAATTTGAAATATCAATTTAAAACTCAATCTGAAAAAATATAATTTTTATAGAAGAGAATTATCTTTTCTTGAATATATAATAACTGAAGAAAGAATTTTATCTGACTTATTAACTATTCAAAAAATAAAAGATTTTTCTTAACTGAAAACTGTTAAAAAATTCAGATTATTTTTTAGCTTAGCTAGATATTATAAAAAATTTATAAAAGAATTTTCTTAAATTATTACTTCTTTATTTAAATTATTTTGAAATATAAAATTATTTATTTGAATTATAAAATAAGAAGAAATATTTTAATAAATTAAATAATATTTATAATTAAATATTTTAATTTACTCTAATTTTATAAAGAAATTCTATTTTTATACTGATATCTCAAACTTAGAACTTGAAGCTATTCTATCTCAAAAAGATAAAGATAGAAGAGAACAAGTAGTCACTTATACAAGTATTACTTTGAAATTAAATAAATAAAAATATAAAGTAACTGAAAAAGAAATATTAATAAAAATATAGACTATTAGACAATTTTGCTATTATATACTTAAAATTATATTTAAAATAATAACTAATCATAATATTTTGAGATAATTATTTAAAAATCAACAAAGTAATTCTACTAGAGTAAACTAATAGATCATATCTCTTATGAAATATATCTTTATTATTACTTATTGATCTGAAAGAAAGAATTAAAATACTAATACTTTATTTTAGATATATTTGAAAAATTATTAAATAACTTTTTTCTTCATAATAATAATATGTATTTAATAACTTATTATAACTTATAACTTATTATAATTTATAACAATATCTAGATAATAAAACATATTCTATAGAATTAATTCTTGAATAATAATACAGAATATATAATCAAGCAAAATATTTTTACAAATTAATAATATATTATATAAAATTAATAAAAAGAAAAGAACTAACTATATTTCTTAGAGTTATTAAAGAAAATAAAATGGAAGCTATTCTTATCAATTTATATTTAAACTCTTTATCTAGATATTTTGAATATAAAAAACTTATTAATAGATTGTAAATAAATATTGATAGAATAGTATAGAAATTAATATAAAAAATTATATGAAAATTTGTAAAATCTATTAGCAAACTAATAGAAGAATAATAAAATAATCTTTATATTCTATCAAAATTAAATAATCTTTTAATAGAATAATTATTGATCTAATTAAATCTAATAAAATAATAACAAATAGAAATTAATATATCATTATAATAATTGATTATTATAATAATTTTGATTGAATTATCTTTCTTTAGATTTCTTTTAGTTTAAATCTTTATTTTGCACTATCTATATAATAGATTAGCTTTGTATTACATTTTTAAGAAGATTATTTTCACTCTGAATATATAAATGATCATTATGTATTTAATATATCTAGATTTATCATATTATTACTCAGATTATCACTATGTGTATCACAATTATTAATTTAAATTATTAATATTTTTCTTTTAATAATTCTTTATTTTCTTATTTATTCTCTTTTATCATTATTTATATTATTATTTATTATTATTTATAATTATTATTACTTATTGAATTATAATTAGTTATTCTCTAGAGACATGAATTAAATTAATTAATTTTATTCAATTATATATATTTTAAAATAGATTTCATTATTAATTTATTCATTTTTTGTATTTATTTCTTTCACTATAAATAAGACCTCTCTATTTTGTAATTTTCTCTCAGATCTAAATACTTTTAAATAATAAAAATAATTATAAGTTATAAAATTAAAATTTATTCATATTGCATTTTATCTTATTTACAACTATTAATAAAATAATCTTACAATATTTATTATAAAATTTTAATAGTTCTTTTATTTTTCTTGTAAAATATTTCTAAATTATTATTAAGTATCAATTACTTTTAAAAATAAGTACATCAGAAAATTTTTTGAGAAGATATTTATCAAGAATCATCACCATATCTATAAAAATTAATAAATATCTCTCTGAAATATTAATATTAATTGATAACTCCAATAATCTTCAATAAATATCCATATTGATAATAATTAATCATTGTTAATATATTATTTATTAATATATAATAATATATCAATTATTATCGCAATATATTATTTATCAATAATAAATAATATATGTTAATAGTTAACTCAAATACTTGTTTTAAAATCAATTTATCATATTAATATCAGTTTAGCTTATATAATCTAAATAAATATGTATATACTTACATATTCAATTATTTTCAAGACTTAAAACTTCTAAAATGCTTTTTATTTAATATTAAAAAATA